TTAGGATTTTCCTAAAAAGGATTATAGGTACTTCATTTTGGTTGGGTGAGGGGTAATAAAATACCATTAGATAACAGTAATAAATCCTACTATTCTGCAGCACAATAGAAGAATTGTCCTTTACAACAATTAATTATATATCTTGTAAATAACCAAAAGAGAGGATTACAAATATTCCCAAAGAAATCATAAAATGGTGACAATGCTACTTGTCCGATTTGATATTTATAAAATAAGAAGTTGCATAAACAAATCCAGGTCTATTTGACTTACATGCATAGAACAATTGTGAAGGAACATATATTCTTGGGAAGGTTATCACTAACTGGTGGGGACAGCTGTTCCTGGAAATTCCAAATTGTGTTCTGTGGTTAAATGAGATTTTTTTTTACCAGATCTACTTTTGAGACAATGCATTGTTTTATTTTTAACTGAGTTCTAAGTAAAGTGATGTAAAATAAAATTACTTTTTTTGTGGCAATACTGAGGATCAAACCTATGGTCTTATTCATTCTAGGCAAGCACAATACCATTGTGTTACATTCCCAGCATGAAAATGCACTCTCTTAAGTGTATAGTCCCATGGATTTTGACAAACACATACAGTGATGCAATCATACAACAATTGAGGTATAAACATGATTGATTGGGTATGGTGGTGCACACTTGTGGTCTCTACTACTTAGGAGGGGATTGCTTCAACCTATGAGTTTGAGATAAGCCTAGGCTACATAGTGAGATACTGTCTCAAAAAATGTATGTGTGTGTGTGTGTATATATATATATATATAAAATATTTCCATCACCCTGTAAAGTTTCTTTGTCCCCCTATTACAACCAGTCATACTCCCTTGCTTCCAGAACATGGTCACCATAGATATGTTTTCTGTACCTGTGATTTGGTTTATCAAATCATACAATGAAATTTGACATACAGAATTTATCAAATCTTTTATCTCTGGTTATTTTGACTTGATTTATTCTTTCTACAATACTATTTTTATACAAATATTTTTAATTACTTTATTGGTTTCCCTGGGGTAAAATTCTGCATGCACATCACACAGTTTGGTCAATTTCATTGCCCAGTACCTCCCTTTACCCTTACCTTCTCCTTCCCCTTAGTGCCTTCCCTGTACCCTATTTGTCTCCCTTATATTTCATGTACCTTTCACTGTTTTATGTAGAAGAATATGTTTTAGATTCACCTTCATTTTCATGTATCAGTAGTTCATTCTCTTATTATTCAGTAGTATTTCCAGTCATGAATTACCAGAAATTTTTTCTCCATTCATAGGACATACGTACTCTTGGTTGTTTCTAGTTTGGCGCTTTTAAATATAAGAAGTATGAACATTTGTGTGCAAACTTTAAGTTGGACTATGTTTCCTTTTCCTATTGAATAAATATATAAGACTGGAAGCATTGCACAGTTTTTAAACTTTATACAAAATTCACAGAATCAATTCCATTTTTCTTTTATAATTTGTTCTTTATGACCTATGTAAAAAATATTTGCCAGCACAAGACCACAATTTAATCACATTTTGAAAGTGTTAGCTCTTAAAATTTAATTGGTGATTCATTTCAAGTTAATTTAAATTTGGGCTATAATATAATGGTCATGCATGTGCTCCTTTCCTTTTCTTGAGATAGGATCTCACTGAATTACCCAGGCTGGCTTCAAACTTTCTGAGTTCAAGTGATTTTCTTTCCTTAGCCTCCTCATTTTCAGGAAAAAAGGTGAAACTTGAAAGCATTATGTCAAGTAGGATAAACAAAATTCAGAAAGCCAAGAGTCATATGTTTTTTTCTCAGACATAGAAAAAGGAAGAAAACGGGAAAAGGATCTCATGAAAATCAAAGGGAGAATAATCTAATAGATGAAAAGGACCAGGGAAAGGGCACAAGGGAGAGAAGAGAGAAAAACTGGGAAACAATATTGATCAACTTCTATCATTTCTATTTGCAGGTGTGACTATGTGACAACAAATCTCACTATTATATATAATGATGATGAACTAAAACTACAGAATAAAGAAACATTTTCACATACTGTTTTAAAATATAAAGGGAACAATTTTTAAGACATTAGCATGAACCAATAATCTTTAATGAATTATTGATTTTTTTAAAAAAATTACCATCTCTTCTGCATTTGAGGGATATTCATCTGAAAAAAATTCTCCCATATTTCTATATCAGAAGACACAAATTTTGTAACAATGTTAAGCACTTAATAGTTGATATTTCCTTTTTACATTCCCAGCAAAACTGTAGAGAGATATCCTGGATATTTCATGATTCAATAGAGATCTATTTTAAACCAGAATTCCATTAAGCAGTGTGAAAACTGAAATGGTTTAGACTATCAAGTAGGGGCAGACACCAGCATCCAAGCTTGATGATAACAAGAAGAGAAGATTTGGTACTCAAGTAATCAAATACTCTCTACTTCAAATGTTATTGGGGGGCACTTTAGCAAAGTCATTGCTACTGGCTTTCAACTCATGTTTTTTATTACTTGATTGGCTCACTGGAAATATCAGGCTCTTCTTTGGACAAGAGTTTCTTATCTATAGATCATAACATCTCTTATCTATTGATCATAAATAAATTCCAACATTTCCTCTAGTTTCACAACTTACTTACACCTTGGTTTATCTGTGTCTGTTCATTGCAGGGCACAACCATAATAGTATCACTGACATCTGTGCTACATGACAGCAAAGAATTCCCTAACCCAGAGAAGTTTGACCCTGGCCATTTCCTGGATGAGAGTGGCAAATTCAAGAAGAGTGATTACTTCTTGAGTGGCAAATTCAAGAAGAGTGATTACTTCATGCCTTTCTCAACAGGTAATAGAAATTATTTCCACTGGTAATTCTGGGGAAAAAACACGTTCATGGGATCAGGTAAACTTGCACAAAGCTTGTTTGGGGATTGGTAGACATATTCTTTGCCCATGATCAGGAGCAACACTTTCAGTGCCTATGCACTTTACTAGATAGGATATTTTGTTACTGAGTCAGACTAATTGGCCTTGGGGAATTGACTTAGTTTTTCCAAAGTAAGAAAACTACAGACAGGGTGGATTGAGTTATGTCTCAAGATACATGACTGCATTTCCCAGAACTCTTTCTAGAAGATTATATTCATCTCCACTGTCTTCAACTGCCCTAATAAAGAATATAACTCCACAACTTTGTTGAATGTCATACAAGTGGTGACTCTTATGCCCTTGCTGAGCTGTGGGAATGCAAATATCCACAAATACAGAAGGGGCCGCCAAGGGACCCACACCCTGGTTAGCCAAACAGATGAATAAAGAGATTGTTGTAATCCACTATGACTTGTGGTTTACAACATAGTAGATTGTTGTAATCCACTATGACTAGTGATTGGCTGTTCCTGATGGCAAAGGAAGAAACTACATCTTTCCTGTTCCCTCATACCACACAGTGAGACATAAAATGGATTTAATATTCCCTCATAAGAATGGCAGGGAATTTTAAGAGAGACAGTGAGTCATAGGAGTAGGAAACTTGCTCTTGATCAAGGATGCCAGAGCTTTCTGACTGGTAAATGAGGGTCAGCAAACTGTAGGAGTAGAACAGATTATCCTTTAAAGGCACAAGAGCACCTTTATCTTCCTACATCTGGTTCCTCCTTTAGATACAGAGCCCTTCATATCCAAACTGTATGCCGAGTCTCTGGCATATCATTGTCTAAATTTATTCTTTGGCTCTTCAAGCTTACTTTTAGGTCTTTCACTGTAGATACAAAATATGACAAGGACTGAGCCCTGCCTTAATGGATTTCAGAAGGCTAGAAAAATAGAAAGTAATAATTCAAATAATCTATGTTTCATCGCTGACTAAAACCAAAGAAGATAATAATATCGTCTGGAAGAATCATAAAGAGTATAATTGGAAAATGACATTTGATCTAAGATCAGAAAGAAATATGAGAAGTGCATCCTAGTCAAAAGGAATAGCATGAGATAAAGCTTGAAACTGTATTGTATGTTTTAGGCTGATGAGACTAAACAGATCTGATAAATGGGAGGAAAGATCATGGAACATCAGACTTGGAACAGGGAACACAAGTAATGAGTATGTGTTTCTGGAAAACGATTGAAAGGAACATGAAATGTCAAAACAACAACAACAAAAAACCAAACCATTTTAATGTTGGAATGGTTAGTGAAGTTCTCTGCGTTCAGCTAATAAGCATAAACCAATAAATATTGGTTGAATAAGTTGTGCTGATAAAATATTAGAATAGCAAGTGTGACCTTCAGTCTAATCAACTTTTGCTCTTTGTCCATCCATCCATCCATCCATCCATCCATCCAATCTATCCATCCATTCATCCATTCATCTAATCATTCATCAAATAGTGACTCTGTATTCTTCTGATGCAAGTCAGAAATATACTGTTCAAGGAGTATTTATCCTCTCCCTCTTGGTTATTTTCAGGAAAACGAATGTGTGCAGGAGAAAGCCTGGCCCGGATGGAACTGTTTTTATTTGTGACCACCATTTTACAGAACTTTCACCTGAAATCTGTGGTTGACCTAAAGGATCTTGACATCACTCCTGTTACCAGGGGATTTGCCTCTGTGCCACCCAAATACCAGCTTCGCTTTGTTCCTTTCTGAAGAAGAGCAGTCTGTCTGCCTACTGCTGTCATCTGGAATTTCCTCTTTGGGGCATGCTCCACCTCCTTCCCTATCAGGCATGCCTTCTCTGATCTACTTCTTACCACCTTATTTCTTTGAAATCCAGTGAACACTAAACCCCCATTACAGAGAATTTCCTCAGTTTTCACAAATAATGCATGCTTCCTGTTTACGTATGTAACACTTGCATTAGCTATTCTGTATTTTAACACTCTTGTGAGTTTTTCCTATGGCATCACTGTTAAACCAAACAACAACAACAAAAAAAAAACTGGGGGAAAATTATGTGAAGTGAAATAAACCACACACAACAAGATAAACACCACATGATTTTTACTTTTATGTGTAATACAAAAAAGTTACACATTTATAATAGTGATAAGTATTGGTTACTAGAATGTAGAAAGGGGTGACAGTGTGAGTAAATGGGGAAAGAGAAGTTGGTTAAAGGATACAAAGTTTTATGTAGACAGGAGGAATGAGTTCTAATGATCTCTTGCTGAACATGGTAACTATAGTTAACAACAATGCCTTGCATATTTTATAATAACTAAAATGGGAGATATTAAACATACTCCCCATAAAGAAAGTTCAAGGATATGAGATAATGACCATGTTAATGAGCCTGATTTAATTAACCTTCCATGCATACATGTATCACATTATCAAAATGTACCCCACAAATACATATGATTACTACTTGTGAACAACAACAACAAAAAAGGAAGTAGATTAAAAACAAAAAGTGCAAATGAAAACTACATTTTATCCATTTTTATCACTCTTTATTGGTAAATGAAAATATATTAATCAAGTAGTGATAAAATGTGTAGAACAAAAGGGAGTCTGATATTCAGAAAGTCAATTTCTCAATGTCTACTATTAATATCTTACTAAAATTTGTAATCTTCCTTTCACCACTACCCTCCATCATTTATCTTCTAATTCCCCTTACTCTGCGTTTGCACTTTGCATGCTTTTCTTTTTCTTTTTTTACTTATACTTTCTCATAAACCTATGAGATAGTTCATATTTGTATTAGTTACCACTACTGCCTTAACAAATTACCACAAATATAATGACTCAAAACAATAGAGATTAAAAGTCTTATAATTCTGGGGTTCAAAGGTCCAGTGTCATCTCCCTTGGATTAAGATGATTCTACCAGTGTGTATGATTCCTTTGGAGGCTCTAGGGAAGATTCCATTTCCGTGATTTTTTCATCTTGTAGAGGCTGCCAGAATCCTTTGGCTTGTGAGTCCTTTGTCACATCAATTAAACCTCAGCCATCACATCTGCCCTTTCCCATGCCCTCGGTGATTACATTGGCTCCATCCAGATCATCCAGTAGAATATATGCATGCCATGGTCCTTGATATTTCTGAGTCTGCAAGGCACTCTGACAAATATTGAGTTTAATAAAAATCCCTCTTTCATTCACCTTGCTACAAAGTAGTACTCCTATTGCTTAAATCCTAAACCACAGAGCAATGAGGAATGCAAACTTCTTCTAATCTATCATCTTAAATCTTAGCTTATTTTATATTTCATATATCATTAAAATCCAATAAATAAATGAATTAATCTCTGTATTTAAGGGCTTACCAGATATTGCCATACTTTGTTTCTTTTTACAGAAGGTTAATTTAGAATATATTTATATCTTTTTTATATATTTAGTATTAGTCTACCAATCTTCATTATTTCCTGCATATCAAAACTAAAATCTTATACTATTTTTTTCATTCCAGTCAGAATGGCAATTATCAAGAGTACAATTAATAAAAAATGTTGGTGAGGATGTGGAGGAAATGGTACACTCATACACTGCTGGTGAGACTGCAAATTGGTTCAACCACTCTGGAAAGCAGTATGGAGATTTCCTAGAAAACTTGGAATGGAACCACCATTTGACCTAATTATCTTGCTCCTTGCATATACCCAAAGGAATTAAAATAAACATACTATTGTGGCATAGTCATATCAATATTTGAAGCTCAATTCTCAATAGCTTAGCTAAGGAGCCAACTTAGGTGCCCAGACAAATGGCTAAAGAGAATGTGGTATATATACACAATGAATATAGAAGAATGCAAATTATGGAATAAAGAAGAATGAAATTATGGCATTTGCCAATAAATGAATGGAACTGGAGAACATTATGCTAAGTGAAATAAGTCAATCCCAAAGAACCAAAGACTGAATGTTTTCTCTGATATGCAGATGCTCATATAGAATAAGAGGGGGCAGGGAAAGAAGAATAGAAGGTAATTGGATTATACAATTGGGAATGAAGGGAAGGGATGGGGAATAGGAAAAGAAAAGACAGTAGAATGAATGGACATAACTTTCCTATGTTCACATATGAATACATGACCAGTGAAACTCCACATCATGTACAGCCACTAGAATGGAATCCTAATAAGAAAAAGTTATACTTCATGTACGTATAATATGTCAAAATACATTCTACTATCAAACACAACTAAAAAGAACATAAAAATTTTTTAAAATTAAAGGTAAATTAAAGAAAGCAATGATTCTCCTAATGGTGGAATTTTAGATATTAGTAAGCAAAGGAAAATCTTTTGGGATCTGATAGGGTGAGAAATGAAAAAAAAAAGATTGTCTAATTCCCCTGGAATATGTTAGATCTCCTCAATATCTCTTATGAACAGCTCTAAAGCCTTTTAAGCTTTTTTTTTGACCCACTAATTTGTTCCTCTGTTATTCACCCTATCAGGCATCTACAATGCTCAAAAATTACCTCTAGTTGTCTTCAACATATGGCATTTACACTGGCCAAGCTCAGAGTCAGGTTGCTACAAACAGCTGTGTATGTGGGAACTTCCAGAGTTCCAGGAGATGAGTTGAATAATGACAATGTTCTGGAATAGAGCTCCAGTGTCTGTGAGACCTCTGCTTTCACCCGTGATGATAGGCTGTCTCTTTTTAGTGTTCCACTTTAGTGCTGTGAAGATATAGGGAGGGAATGAGAAAAATTAGAACAAGATAATATCACTATTCTCACTTCTCACTCATACTCTCCTTCGTTGAATAAATACTTAAAAGTTTCTGGGACGTTGGTTAATTTCTAATAGCCTAAAAAAAAAAGTTGATAAAATTTTTCACTGTGCTCTCATTGTTTCATGTTGGAGAGAATTTTCAGAAGTCTTCAGCATTTTTTGCTGACTTTCCCCAGTCTAATATTTAGTATAAATAATAAGAGTGAATATCTTTACCATATCTCAATTTTATAGGCAGTTCAATATTTCACCATTGATTAAAATATAAGATTTAAAAGAAATCCTCTTTTAGAATATGGAGGACACTTTCTTCTTAGTTTGCTGAAAGTGTTTATCATAAATAGGTTTTGATTATTATTTTAAGAGTGTTTCAACTTTATTGGGATATAAAATTTTGGGGGATTCTTCATGAAGCACATTGTACATCAAATAATATAATGATAAGTTGAGACTCAGGATGACTTTACCTTTCTTCTGCCAGAACCATGTGTTTAAGAAGCATGTTTAGGTGTGGATCAATGTGAACACAATTATTTCAGCCAAAACACTGGTTTTCAGATCCTTCAACTTCAGGTTTATTCAGAATCTTTGGATATAGACTTTTTTTATATAGTGATAGGAATTGAACCCAGGGCCTTGTTCATGTGAGTCAAGCACTCTCCAATTGAGCTATATCCCTAGCCCTGGATATTGACCTTTATGGTAACCTTCAGGCTTCAACTGAAGTCTAGGCGTTTACTTTGTTTTTCTTATTTGATGTGATCTCAATTCCATTTTTTGTCTTTGAGAATCTAACAAAAATTATTTTCCAGTTCTAAATATCCCAAATGGTATTTTGTAGTCAGTCTTTCAGTGTTTTTACCTCCCGATTTCAAATCCATAGTCATTTTAAATCACATCAAATATCAGTCTTCCCCATGTGGATTGTCCAATCACTCTGTTATGTTTTTCCCAAAAATGCTTACAACATTTGTTATTGTTCTATTCTCATAAATAAATGTTCATTTGCGTGCGTGCATGTGTGTGTGTGTGTGTGTGTGTGTTAGTCACCAAGGGAGCAAGACATAGAAAGAGAGAAACAGATACTGACACAGATATAGACATTAGTTTTAGAATTTTTTTTCATTGTAATGAAATATCGTTTGCAGATTATATGGTTTTCTACTTCAGAAATCCATGAAATACTAAGTCTTCCAAAGAATTTGATCCTCAGTATTTACAAGGGCTTGGGAATATAGTTCTTAATTCTATTCACTGCTGAGAGCCATTACCAAGTAGGAATGACGCATCGAAATCCTTTCCAGCGTACCCCACGTTAAATGAACTTGCCTTGGAAATTTGCTGTGACCTTGCTTGTGTGTTTGAGAAAGGTGACCCTGCTCAATGACCAGGGTGGATCCAGGATTAAGGTGTATCCTGCAAGAAGTATCCCCGTCCTTGGGTTTAGGGCGTGACAATAGGAGTTTTAGGGAAATTGGAGGTTGAAGATTATTCCTGCTAGGAGTAGGGCGTGCCTACTGCCTGAGTTCCCGCTGAGTTCTTGTGGAGAGAAAGTATTTAGGACGTGAATTGTGCAGGGGGATGGGATTGCCCCTGAACCTGTGTGGAGGCGGTGTGAGAGCAGGAATAAAGAATTGCTGTTTGAACCTACAAAGCTGTGTGGTGGCTCGTGATCTTGTGCCAAGCCGAGACATTGGCATTTGGCAATTCACAATAGAAAATAAAAACTTAAATAAGTATTCAATAACTATATTCACTGTCTCTGAAAATAAAAATTTATATAAACTATGGTGCTGCCACATTCCATATCTAAGAAAACATTGTGAAGTAGTGTAGAGGTAATTATCATTGGGAAAAGACAAAAGGTATACATGATGAACCATCAAACAATTGTTCTCCTGGAAAGTTACATAGGTGAGAGGCAAGTAGATTTATATTTTATTTTAAATATTTTTGAAGTCTTAGAATAATTTCTGATATTTTTTACTAAAAATGTTAAATTTATAATGTTCTTTCTTTTTGGTATTTACTGAAAGTCAGATGTAGCTTTTGCTCTCAGGACTATATTACAAGAAGAACTATATGGGATGCTTAAATAAATGTGGAATTGATAAATATATCAATAAATGACTAACCTATGGCTTCTATTCCTGCACAAATCTGGTTTCCTTCCTTTCATTCCTTCCTTCCCTTGTGTCTACCTGTTCTGTTCTCTGAAAACTGACTTCTAGGGACTACATTAAGCCAGGAGCCAGATCCTTGGAATTTAGAAAACTGGGTGCTAAAAAATCCAGAGTAATTATTCTTTCAGTCCCACCCTCCCAGGTCACAGTTCTGGCAGTGGCTGTATTCATCTACCAACACATGCATTTGCAGTTTAGGCGTCCACTGTATCTTGGCTAAATGTCTATTTGGTTTCCAGGGACACTCTTCTTCCCTTGCACCTTCCAACCTGGGATGGTAACATCTTCCTGCTGATACTAGTCCTGAATCCTTTGGCACACTTGGCCACTTCCGTTGTCCTGTGCGTACCTTTGAAGACAGCAGCCTCTTTAAACCCTTCAATTAGCAATTTTGAGTGTGTGCCACCTGTTTCTTTCAAAGATCCTTACAAATTACAAGATGACAATTAAATGTTACTTCCTGAAAAACATCTCCCCTACCCTCTAACTGCCATTCCCCTGCCTCAAAAAAAAAAAAAAAAAAAAAAAAAAAAAAAAATTAGGCAGAAGCGGGATCCTCTCTCTGGGCTCCTACAGCGGCCTCTAGTGTAGCACTGGTTATACTGCAGTTTCATTGACTGTTCATTCATCTTCCTCTCAGGAGCAAGATCTGTTTCTAATTCACATTTGTAGCCCTGGATCTGAGCTCGGGATTGCTACATATGGTGTGCTCAGTAATGTTATTGACTGAACTGGCTTCTCTGGTAAATGAGAAAAGTCTTGGTAGAACTGGAAATTCTAGGAGCTCCTGAGAATCTCTGCAGGGCCAGGAAGCAGAATCAGTGGAGCCTCCAAACCACTGAGGAAAAAAAAAACCTAACAACCTGGACATGGGGAGTAGTGCCTCTGGCCTCAGAGAAATGACTATTCATAGCCAGAGTAACCTCCACACAAAGCCCTCCCTCTTCTCACTTGACCCCTGATGCACAGATGAAAACAGAGCTTGCTTGCCTGCTGAGAAAGCCAGGAAATAGTCACTCTTCTTAAAGTTGCCACAATCATCCAGAAAGTGGCCAGGATCAAACTTCTCTGGGCTGGGAAACCCTCTGTCGTCATGCAGGATGGAAGTCAGGGATGCTATTATGTTGATCCCTGATAGAAAGAGAAACAGATGAACTAGTTTATAAAGGAGGTCATGGGACTTGAAAAAAAACTTAGACATCCCTCAGAGAATCCTTTTGCTTTGTAGATGAGGAGAGGGAGGCACAAAAAGGAGAATTTATTTGCTCCATGTCACATAACAAATTCACAGGCAAGCCCAGCAGGTCTTAACCGTGTATGTAATGCCTAGTCCAGGGCACTGTTCACCGCCTGCAAGGCCATCCTCAGCAGGGTGTAGTCTGACACCAGCATTTCCTCTGCAGAAGATCAAGGAAGCTCCCTGAAGTGCATTGCTCTGGATGAATAAATTACAATATAACAAAGCTGATGTCACTGAATATCCAGCTCATGCCCGTTAGTGCTGAAACCCAGTAGTTGTGGGGTCATATTTTTGTAAACCCTTCAATTCTTTACCAAGATGAGTTCAACTTTTGGAAGACAGAATATTTTATTGAGTAAGTTTGGTATCTGGCCGCCTCAGGCTGTTTTTGTTAAGTTCTTATTTTAGCTATAAATAGACCTTATTACTGGCTTTTTAGTATTGTGTAATTTTATTGACATAATTGAGAATTAGGTATTTAAAATGTTATAATCAGTTAACTCAAGAAATAAGTTATTTTTACTCTCTCAACAGTTACCATTATTATTTGATGAAGGCTTCAATAATCCATGTATTCAGTGACTTTCCAAATATTTTGCAAAGATTCAGTTGTCATCTGTGATCAACTGAATCTCTATTCTGGCAGCCAGTTAGCAACCTAATAGAAATTTCCTTACATACCTGGATCCAATAGGAAAAGTGGGAAAAAAAGATATTCTATTAATCTTTAAAATAGTTCATTTGATGTCACTGAGGAAGTTTCTCGTCCACAAAAGTATGAAACTATGGCTGTATCTGTGCTGGTCCATCAGCAACCCAAAATCACAAACTTAGTGAGCCATGGTGGCTCACACCTATAATTCCAGTGATGCTGGAGGCTGAGGAAGGAGGGTTGCAATTTGAGGCCAGCCTGGGAAGCTTAGGAAAACCCTGTCTCAAAACAAAATGTAAAAAGTGCTGGAATGTGACTCAGTGAGTACAGTGCCCTGGGGTCAATCCCCAGTAAACTACAAAGAAAAACAAACTTGCAACTTTGATGTTTGAAGGAAAAAGTCCCCATTGCCTTGTTGGAAGTCATCAAGCTGAGCAGAAACACAGTACACTACCACCACCCTGCCTCCCATGTAGCTGGGTATGGGAAATGTTAGCCTCTCTGTGAGATACCCAATTACTGGCACTTGTCAGACACTTTTCTTCATCAAGTACTGCCCAGGAAGCTATACATGTTTGTCTACATTCCTAAAATAATTTCTTTAGATTCATTATACAAAGTCAGTGACTGATATGGTGCAGAGTCAAATTCCTGAATATCTGGATCTACCATCTTTGTGACATTGCTCTAATAATAACACTAAAGGATATTAATATTTCAATCTCTGGCATGGAATACAGTTCCACATATTTATATTCTGTTTAGTTTCTTTCATCAAATTTGATTTCACCTAACTTAATTATGATAATCCACATATCTGTAACTGCTCAATCTCCAATTTCATGTCAATAGATCAAAATATTAACCTTGGTTTATAAGTGCACTGCTTGAAGTAATTTTAACTTGACTCAATTCTTCAACTCCATGAGCTCAGAAAATTACCTGAGGTTGACATCAATACAGGAGTTGATTGTCTCTTCTCTAGTTAGTACACATGTTGAGAGGGTTCAGTTCTTGATAAGGGTGCTGGTTTACAAAACATTGGACACACTACAAGTGATCTAGAAGTTATAAAAACATTATCAATTCAATGCATTATTCAAGCATTATCATTTCAAAATTATATATATATATATAAATGCATGTGTGTATAAGTCCACAGATATAGACATGGTATAGACATAAACATACGTACAGAGAGTGATATATATATCGTGTTAATTATCTCCTGTTCTCAGTATTTAAAATAGTAGCCTTGTTGACAATACTGTGTCACATCACCTTCTCAGTACAAAACCTTGGCTTTCACATTGGAATCACTTCTATGCTTTCCTTTATCATATCTGTGCAGTTGATGCATCAATTATCTGTCTTCAACTTTGTGTCTGTGTATGTGTGTGTATGAGTGTCACTTTAGTTTGTATTTTCCTATTTACTCCTGTGCTTGTTCCCTGGACTAAGTAGCGGTGGCCCCCCACCTGGATCACAACAAAGCTGGCACATCCTGTGTTGGTTTAGCCATTATTGTACACTATGATTCTGTGAACGTCTAGAGCGTTCGGGTCCCTGGGAAGGGTTGCGAAATCACCGGGACACAGGGGATGCAGAGCCAAGGCAGCAATTGCAACTGCATGCTGAGGTTTATTTGTAAGTTTCTTTTATATTCTTCTTCTAACAAAGCAAGTGATTCTTCAGTAACACTTTGCCAACATTGCCCAAATATCATGCCTCAGTGGGTACACAGAGCTAAATTCAGATTGTTCCTGTCTATTTGATAAGTACCCTCTTAAAGTTCTTTGTAGACATTATCTAATCCTCTGAGGATGTATTTGTTTCATTAGAATGTACTGTTCCAAGGACAAGTATGCAGGAAGCTTCTTCCTCTTGGCCAAACCATGCAGAACTTGTGGCTTGCGATAAGGGGAAGAGAACTTTTCCTCCTCGTAGCTGAGGTTTGCCTCAGCTGACCTAAATCACAGCCACAGCTCTTGCAGACTGTCAGGCCTGAGGGAGCTAAACTCTGCACACTCAAAACCCAATATGATTCATTGTAAGTTTTGCTGCCCTAGTAGCTTTTTCACAATTCCAACTGCATAATCATTTGTAGGCAAGATTGAGCCCATTTAAATTTTTCACGGAAAGAAGAATTGCAGACTCATGATTCAGGCTTATAACCTCTAGCATGAAATGTCCCTCATTTCCTGATTTCTATTAAGTAAGTTTCTGTTTCTCTGAAAATAAAATAAAATCTAGTTATTAAAGGGTTAAACAAATATTACATTTATTTACTTCAAATACAAGCAGACTCAGTATGGTTAATTCTAGGAATAGTACTATAGCCCAAAACATTAGAAAATCGAGTACTTTTTATTTTTCTATACTTTCCCTATTTAGCATGTAGACTTCCATTTTCATGATTAAAGTCTCATGTTTCAAGATAATTTCTACTCTACCTCCTCATCTTATCTGTGATTTAAATGAGAAGGAGAAATAGAGCAGGAACACCAATAGTTTTTGGCTTATATCTTTTTAGAAAATAAACATCCTCATGGAACTTCTAGCAGTAAAGAATCTCATAACTGAAAAATTTAAGCCAACAAGGAATAAGGGTAAAGATAATGAAATCTGGTCAACTGATCACAGTTTCTACCATACCATACAGAGGTTTCTTCTGATCCTGGGATCTCCAGGGTCTGTATTAACCAACTATAAACCACTGTGAGTCATTTTGGATTTGGTATAGTTACATAAATTGGCAAATAATTCGACAAAATAAAAGAAATTATTCCTAAGAAAAGCACAATCAACAGTTGAAGACTATTTAGGATTATTTGGTAATTGCTCATGGATGATGTGTTTAGTATTGAGATAGAGACAGCAAGCACCCCAGCAATAGATGTTCTGCTCTTGATGAAGCACACACTCAGGTCTGACCATAGACAATGAGTGATACGGATTTCAGAGGGATGTGGGGAAGATGCTGCTAGTGTGCTCCTCTTGTTTGTCTTGGAGAAACTTCACTATTTAACCTTCTGTTTCACCAGCTGTAATCAGGAGGATGACTGAGAAAAATGAAGAGATCATGGCAGTAGGAGAGGCAATGGAGTTGTGGTGCAGTGTCTGGATTTCAAGGGACATGGTGTGTGGCTGGCACAGATGGCACAAATTAGCATGGAATTATACATCAGGTTTCTTATGGAAGTGCCACTTTATGTAGCAGATGAATCCTTGAAGTTGCCTTTTCCTACTCTGATAATTCTAATTCTGGAAAAGAGGAAACTCTCCTTATTGAAGTGTAAGTGAAAATTTGAGAAATTAGTGAGTTTCTAAGATGATTTTCATTCTAAGAAATGTTCTAAAAACTAAGATCCATTATAAAGCTATTCCCAATTAGACAGACAATGAACCTAAAGAAATTTTATTACTACAGAAGTATGTTTCCATAAGTTCATTTCAAGAAAGTAAGGATGTCAGGTCAGAGAGGGGGATCAGTAATTTTATATTTTATGAAAAATATACCATCAGAATTCATTTTTCAAGAGGTCCAGTGGTGCAGCACACATAAAGCATTCTTTCCAGCCTCTCTCTGGGTTCCAGGGAAGTAAAAATATATGAGTGAGAACTGGTCCTTTTTTAAGGTAAAAGGAGAGAAGAATAGTAAACACTCAACAATCTTCAAAAGGGCAACTTTCAAAGAAATATGAAAATGATCTTAGTTTTCACAGTAAGAAACAATGTTTATGTAGTCAGCATGGTTTAAACACTCAGTATAAACAAAATTATAGTCTAATAGATTCTGTTAAATGGATGAGGGGAACTCTGTGTGTGTGTGTGTGTGTGTGTGTGTGTGTGTCTGAATCCATTTGTAGATTTGTATTTAATTTGATGGATTAAGAGATAAAAATTCTTATCTTCCATATCAGGAAATCAGTAAAAATTATCTAAAAAATTGACAAATAAGAAACACTCATTGTTTCAAAATATGAGCATGAAATTTCAGAATGTTTTGGAAGCAGCTGAGAGAATGTTCAGCATGACCACATTTGGGATGTGAGAGTGTGATGGGGGCACTATTGCAAATTGCTTACATAAACAAAACCATCAAATATATATTGATTCATTATTATTTAATTTTTAATACCATGGATTACTTTTCTAAAAATTTAATATCGGATTCCTTTTTATCTTTTTTCAAGAACTCTAACTTATTGACATAATTATGTTGTTTATATTTCAGAACATTTAGCTCTATTTATGTTACTCATCATGGATGATGTATAGGTATTTGCTGATGGTTTGCAATACATAGTTTATAGAAGAGTAATATTCATCTATTTTTTGGAAACTCTTTTTACATGTAGAAGTGTAAGATTGAGCATACCATTTCCATTTACAGCTTGGCATCCTTCATTATACTCCATGTCACACTTCGTGCTATGACAAACAAGATATATTTGGCCTGTCCTATTATTTCTTACTTGTGTCCTATCATTAATGTGTAGAAATTAATGTGATTAGCAGACACTGGATTCCCTGAATGCAGGGCAGAAGCCACTTGCCTTAGACAAGTGCTATATTGCAAAAGATCCAGAGATACATTGACCTCATTTCTACTGGCCTGCTGCATGCAGTGACCTCTGATGTTAAATAGAGAAATGACTACATTCCCAAGGTGGGCTTCTTCTATGCTGCACTACAATGCTCTCCATGTTCCCAAATTCATAGTATGACTACAAACCTCTACCACACAAGATCAAAGTGCTAAAACCTTACCAACCTTATCTTTGTCTACATAATGGACTTTGTGCTGTTTCTACATTGGGCTATAAATCTTTATACTAGGAGATGATATCTGCCAGTGTGAGTCTTCTGTTTGTTCTGCCACTTCAATATTATTTTAGGTCTTCTTAAGTGTTTACATTTTCAAATGAATGTTTATCATTCAGTTTGTCCATTTCCCCAGTGACTCATCTGGGGTTTTTATCATGGTGACAGTAAATTTGTTCATGCATTTGAAAAAAACTGATATCTTAAACCAATGGTTTTGTCCACTCATGAGTAAGGTGGTTTCCAGTCGTTTGGGCTTCCTGTAATTTTCTCTGTACTGTTATGTTCTCAGTGTGGTGGCTTGTAAGTTTTCTCTTAGGATTTACTGGGATGAAAAAAAGTATTATTATAATTTTTAAAATGGCTTTGCCATTTCTCTTTACCTGGTATATGGAAACATGATTGGTTTAATCATTTGGTTAATCTCCCATTTAGAATCCTTGTGAAATTTACTGATTATCTATAGATACATTTGGAATTTCAAAGTGCATTATCCTGCTCTCAGGAATATATTTTCATTTATTATTTTCTAATTCTCATGTCTTAATTTCTCTTCATGGCATTGTTCCCCTGGCTAGGATTTATAGCATAACAGTGAACAGAATTCATGATAGAAGTAACTTTATTTCATTTCTGATCTGAAGGAAGGCATGGAGGTTTAACATATCAAGTTTAAAATGATATTTTAAGTAAATTTTGGTAGACATTCCTTATCAGATTAAAATGCTCCCTTATATGACTTTTGAAAATGTGTGTGTGTACAATTCTATCAAATATGTTCTCTGTATATATTATTATGATTGTGTATATTGGTTGTTTTTCCTCAGTAAATACACATATTTATGTATATATACACAATTGAATTTGATCCAATCCACATTGTTCATGACAACTCTATTTAGAATCCAAAGGTATTTTGCTCTATAATTTTTCCTTCTCAAAATCATCTTGTTGTCAGGATAATGCTTACTGCCTAAAATTAAGTTATAAATGCTCCCTGATGTGGGTCTTGTAACATTTCCTTACATCTTGTGAGTTCTTCATGGTGACAATTTTTGTTAAGTTTGAGATATTATACATGAAAACAATGTAGAATTTAAGTCACTGTAAATCTCTTTTCAGAAAGTATTGATCTTTTTCTCTGGGCAGTCAGAATTATGTCACACTTCTGGCCCTGATTCAGAATTAAGAGATAAAATGAACAGTCACAGGTAGAATGTAGGCACTAAATTATCTCTCTGATATTCTCCTATAACTGGAATACTGATAACAATTGTTGTCTCACAGCTTTACAACACTTTCTAATCAGGCATTTAATTGGTTGGGGTCAGATAGAAGAGCTGTGACAATCAAGTGAACCCTAACGATGACTGAATCTCAATTAGATACATTTAGATGTAGTTGGAATGTATCTTAACAACCTAGGGATACATTTTCAAAACATTAGTAGAGAACTGATTTCATAGCTTATTACCATGGTAGGTAGGTATAAGGTTATTCTCATTTTGGGGGGATGAAAATTTAATATCTAGTACTGATATAGGATCACCAATAAATGTAAAAATTGGTGTAATATTAGATTGAATCTATGTTTTAGGAGATGTTAAACATTCCCAAATAAGTGTAATTTATACATCAGTGCAGGCTTGAAATGAAACTGCTGCAACCTGCCTTCATTGTATCATAGATGCACTGAACCTGTCTGAAAGAAATGAAACTGCTGCAACCTGCCTTCATTGTATCATAGATGCACTGAACCTGTATGAAAGAAAATTTTTCTTTTTAAAAGAAAACTAGAGAATGAAAAGAAAAAATAAGTGATTACTTCATACCTTCTTTATCAGGTAATGGAAAATAATTTCCAAGTGCTTCAGATATCTTTCTGGAATCAGATGGGACTTATATGGTGCCTCCTTGGATCTAGTAGAATTATTTGTACAGAGATATTGTCTTTGTCTTTCAGCTGGGACCACATAGCCATCCAGATCAACAGCCATATATCTTAACTTGGCAGGACCTCTGCAAATCCCCTCCTCCATGGGTGAAGTCTTTCCTTGTCCCTGCCCCTGCTCCTACTCCTCCCCCCACGATTCTATCTCTCAAACCCTCTGCTCCTTCTCCACCCTTTGTTCTCCCTGAGTCTCAAGATTTGACTCTGCTGAACTCTCCTCCCTTTCCTTATCCCCTGCCTTTGTTCCCCAACCCCCAAAACCCTCTAAGTGATTCCCCTGCTGCTGACTAAGCCTCTCCACCATTGGAGGAAGCTGAGCCAGCCCAGTGCCCTCCAGATGACTCCCCCACGGCACACACAGCCACCTCTGGCCTCAGATCAATGTGCCTACTGTAGAGAAAAAGGACACTGGGTCAAAGAGTTCCCTAGAAAGAAACAGCCACGCCAGCCAGCCATTCTAACTCTGGAGGATGACTAGGCAAGTCAGGGCTCGGATCCCCTCCCTGAGCTCAAGGTAACTTTTGAAGTGGAGGGAACCTCAGTAAACTTTGAAGTGGATACAAGGGCAATATACTCAGCCCTTAAGGCCCCCTTGGGCCCTCTATCAACTAAAAGGTCTCAAGTTCAAGGGGCTAATGGCAGTAAATATTGGGCTTGGACAACTAAGAGGATCATGGACCTGGGGAAAGGAAAAGTCCATCACTCCTTCCTAGTGATCCCAGAATGCCCAGCCCCATTGATGGGAAAAGATCTGCTCACCAAACTCTGGGCCAAAATAACTTTTAACCCTGAAGTCCCCCAAATGGAATTTCTAAATCCTTCAGTATAAACTCCTATAGTCATGGCTTTAACTATATCAGTAGAAGATGAACATCAACTCTTCACACCCCCCAAGACTGATCAAACAGGCAAGCTATCCCAGAACTGGATAACAGATTACCCAGATGCCTGGGCAAAAACTGCTGGATTAGGCCTAGCCGTAAAACAACCTCCAATAACAGTGGAGTTAAAAACCTCAGCCTCCCCAATTAATATTAAACAATATCCTCTGAGCAAAGAAGCTAAAGATGAGATAAGGCCCCATATTCAGAAATATCTGGCCTTAGGGGTCCTAAGGCCCTGTCAATCGGCCTGGAACACTCCCCTGCTACCAGTAAAAAAGCCAGGAACTGGGGACTATCGCCCCATTCAAGACCTAAGAGAGATCAACAACAGAGTGCAGGACAGTCACCCCACAGTACTTAATCCGTACAATCTGCTTAGCACCCTGAACCCTGAACGAAAATGGTATACTGTCCTGGACTTAAAAGATGCTTTCTTTTGCTTGCCTCTGCATAAAGATAGTCAGTTGCTGTTTACTTTCAAATGAGTAAACCCAGAAACTGGAACGACTGATCAACTAACTTGGACCAGACTTCCACAGGGGTTCAAAAACTCCCCCACTCTCTTTGATGAAGCCCTCCACAGAGATCTCAATAACTTCAGAACCATGCACCCCGAAGTCACCCTACTCCAATATGTGGATGACCTGCTACTGGCAGCCGATACCAAGGAAAATTGTGAGACTGGGACCCAAGCACTATTATCCAAGCTTGCTCAACTCGGATATAAAGCTTCTGCCAAAAAGGCCCAAATTTGCCAACAAGAAGTAATCTTCCTGGACTATTCCCTTAGGGGCAGTAAACAATGGCTCACAGAGCCCAGAAAACAAACCATTGTGCAGATACCACCCCCATCTAACAAGAGGGCAAATAAAGAGGCTAAATTGGCAGCCCTAAACGGAGTAACCATGTTAACACTTTCCATACGGGGGAAATATGAGTCAGGAGATTTAACTACATCAGAGCACCCCAACAACTTAACATCTGAGGACACTGACACTGAACTCCTTGACAAAACTGAACCCAACTTGCAATTTCAGAAAGCCCTACACTACGTTAAGAATATACATCAACTCACTCACCTTGGTTCAAAGAAACTGCAGGCATTCCTAAAGGATCAAGAACAGAGTTTTCCACTAACCGGCTCACAACGAAAGGAAATAGCTGAACGGGTAACAAAAGCCCGTTGGGTCTATCAATTGGTTAATGCTTACCCTTCCAAGCTCCCTATACAAAGGCACCTTTGAGGAACCAGACCAGGACAATTCTGGGAAGTGGACTTTACTGAAATTAAGCCAGCAAGATATGGACTTAAATATCTCCTAATCTTTGTAGATACATTTTCAAGATGGATTGAAGCCTTCCCCGCAAAAAAAGAAAGCGCAAATGGTAGTCAAGAAGATCCTGGAAGATATTTTTCCAAGATACGGCCTGCCTAAGGTAATAGGGTCTGATAATGGACCAGCGTTCGTGGCCCAGGTAAGTCAGGGATTAACCAGGACCCTAGGGATTAATTGGAGGTTACATTGTGCTTATAGACCCCAGAGCTCAGGACAGGTAGAAAAAATAAAATAAATAAAACCATTAAAGAGACCTTAATGAAATTAAGCTTGGAGACCGGCATAAAAGATTGGACTATGCTCCTGCCTTATGCACTGTTTCATACAAGAAATACTCCCTCTGTTTCTTTGCGTAACCTTACCCCCTATGAAATTCTCTATGGTGTCCCTCCTCCAGTAAGGGACCTGACCCCAACTCTAAGACCTAATGATTCCTTTCACACCCCCTTGCTTGACAGACTAAAAGCTCTTGAAAGAACCCAGTGATACCTATGGAAACAGCTGGCCACTGCCTACCAACCTGGGGACAAAAAAACTCCACATCGATATCAAGTGGGAAACTTCATCTATGTAAGACGACATCAGGTGTCATCCCTAGAACCCCACAGGAAAGGACCATACCAGGTGCTACTTATAACACCTACAGCGGTAAAGGTAGACGGAATCACTTCCTGGATCCATGCCTCTCATCTCAAGCCTGTGCCCTGTCCAGACTCTGGCTGGAAATTGGAAAAAAACTGGTAACCCTCTCAAATTGCATATTCACTGTGTGGATAAGGCTATGGATTCTCCCCCTGACCACCAATAGTCCTAACCCTCATCAGCCCATTCAGCAGCGATGGTTGATCATAAATCCTACTGGACAGAAAGTATGATCTATCTCACATACATATGCCCCCTTAGGGACCTGATACCATCTCTCCACCCAGACATTTGTCAATTGCTATAGGTCTTTCCTATTGGGTATCCCTAATGAAGAGAATCCCACTAAAATTCCATTAAATCCCATCTGTACCATAGATAATAGAAACAAACATTATGGATGTAGGGACACGCAAGCCAGATGTAGGTTGGCTAACCTAAATTACTATGTTTGCCCGGCGGACTATCAAAGCCACAAACAGTCATGGCTGTGTGGGAGAAAAACCGACTTCTTCTGTAAGTCATAAGGATGTAAACATACAGGGGCTACCTAATGGAACCCAAACCTCCACCGGTTCTCAGACCATTGCCCCTTGCTGAAGTAACAGGTACTGAGGTATCTCTCCACCCATTCACTCCTCTCTTTTCCTGTCAGTGCCCACACCGGGTCCCACCAGGTCCTCTTACCTGCTAACCCAAAGCTCAAACCAGCTGAGGAAAGCCCTCAGACCCCTATTCAAGATCTGGTAAAAATGGCCTTTAAAGTTGCTTTGACATCGCTAAAAACAGGTTACTAAAAATTTAAAGTCCCTCACAGGCTTTTTGGGATACTCACTCCAGTCTTCCCCTCTGCTCTACCTGTTCTACTACTCGAGTTTTTATTGCTAGGAAAATCCCAAACCCCTTTCCCATTATTCTTTTACATCTATCCTTCCTCTTTCTCAGATCCACGGAGCTGCTCTCAGCACCGCCTTCCCCGTCCTCCCCCTCTGTACCAGGCCCACAGAAAAGTCTTAACTGACCTTCTCCAGAAGTCTTCACTATGGCTGACTTTAGGACTTTCAGCAAAAAAGTCCCTATAAAAGAGTTCAGTGTAGATAAACTTCCTCTTTTCATGTTGCCCTGTTCTACTTGGCCACTGGCTGGAAAAATCAGCACTCCTAAGCTAGACACCCCCTTACTAATTTTTCACAAAATATGTGAACAAGGCCTCTAGCCTTGAGCTGGGGCTTCACAGAGATGGCTACATTTCTAAGATAAAAAGTTATCAACTGGGCTCCATGGAAAGAGCTGGCAAGGAAAAAAGAAAAAAGAAAAAGTTCTCCCCCTCCCAGGTGTCCTTGAAAAGTTAACTTGCCCAGAACAGAAAAAAAAAAAAAACAGAAACAAAAACTGCTTTTTGTGAACTTCTGCAGACTGGAAACTTCTGAGCCCCTTCCCTTACATGTTAAGTACAAAATTCTAAAACTACCTAAACTTGGGATTCAAGGGATTAATTGACTACAACAGAAGCAGTGCCCTCTGAATCCAGTTGCAACCAAATAGAACTGTTTCCCTGTCTTCAGTGCTATCTTAGGTGCCTTGCTTTGTCCGTCCCTACAACAGTATAATTATATATACTTAAACATTATTTATGTTTTCATAAAATGGTCAACAAATATAATTAATTGTATAATAGTGCAGATGTTTCCCAGAGTGCTCTATCATGACGCAGATTCATTTGAAGATCAAATAGAGGAACATACAACCCGGTTTCGCCGGGAACCTGTATCCCTCACTTTAGCCATCTTATTAGGAATGAGAATTGCTGCAGGGGTGGGCACAGGGACCACTGCCCTGGCCCATGGGACACAACAAATGACCCAATTAGAAACAGCAATGAACCAAAACTTAAAGATATTAGAAACCTCCATCACAGCTTTGCAAGAATCTTTAACCTCTCTCTCTGAAGTTGTTTTACAGAAGAGGCGAGGGTTGGACCTCCTCTTCTTGAGAGAAGAGGGCCTTTGTGCTGCATTAAGGGAAGAATGTTATTTTTATGCTGACCATACTAGAGTTTTAAAAAAAATCTATAAGTAAACTAAGAAGACGCCTTGAAGAGCGTCAAAGAGAGAGAGACCCAAAAAGGGTGATATGAGTCTTGGTTCACACAGTCCGCCTGGTTAACTATGCTTTTATCAGCCCCGGCCGGTCCTCTAATAATTCTTATATTGTTGCTAACTCTAGGCTCCTGTTTGCTCAACTGTGTAGTTTCCTTTCTCCAGGCCCAAATTGGACAAATCAAACTTATGTTAATCAGACAACAATATACCCCACTAGCAGACACAGAATATGACACCCCCTAATGATCACTTTTATGATTAAAAGTAACCAGAAGAAGAAATGAAAGGTTAATAAAATAGGTACTTGTCACTCTGTTTCTCTATATGCTTAACAAAACACTGTTGAAATCTTAAGAACTATTTGCTAATCTCGTTCCCAGAATGTGCTGTCCCCAACTGTGGACTGTCTGCTAATCTTGTTCCCAGAATGAGCTGTCCCCAACTGCCAAACTACAAAATGTAACTTCTCTCGCTGCCCTCTCCAGAAAAAATATATAAGCTCTGCTCAAGCTGTTCTCAGGGCTCTATCTCTCTTTGCTATAGAGAGCTTGGGCCCCAGCATGCTGGTCTCCAAATAAACCCACCCTTCTGCTGTTGCATAAAACAGTCTCTTGTGGTCTCTTACTCCGACGTTTCGCCGGACCCTTACAGTGTGAAGTGTTTGTATCCTTCATTTATATACATCACAGAGGTATCAAAAGTCTCCCCTAGAAGATAAAACCCATGAAGGCTCTCTTCATCCATTAGGAGAAAGGATCTCACTTCACAACTTGATTGTCTTTGGAGTAGTGTTACCCGTAACCCAGGTTCAGCTATGGATATAATGAAAGGTTAATAAAATAGGTACTTGTCAGTCTGGTTTTCTCTATGCTTAACAAAACACTGTTGAAATCTTAAGAACTGTTTGCTAATCTTGTTCCCAGAATGTGCTGTCCCCAACTGCCAAACTGCAGAATGTAACTTCCCTCCCTGCCCTCTCCAAGGAAAGTATATAAGCTCTGCTTAAGCTGTACTCGGGGCTCTTTGCTCTATTCAAGTGAGCTCTGAGCCCCAGCATGCTGGACCCCCAATAAACCCTTTGCTGTTTCATGAGACAGTCTCTTGGTGGTCTCTTCCTCCGACACTCGCCCGACCTTTACAATAAAAGTCTCCAATAGCAGAGATCAGCACCAATACCCTCCTATCCAGTTAGGGAAGCAGATGAGTAATCAGTCCATTGTGATGCAATAGAACTAGTGCTGTGAGAGAGGGGAGCACAGATTGCTGGGGTAGAGGAAGTTATGTGTGAGAAGACACCAGGTTTGCACCCTCTCATAGGCCACTATAGAGCATAAAATGGAGCAAGGAACACTGTAGAAGTATAAATGACAGCTGAGCTGCCTCAAAAGGGACAGAATGGAAAAGAAAAAAAGGCATTTTGAGAAGGAAAAGTACCACAGGAAGAGGATCTTTGTTTTTAATCAGTAATGTCAAAAATGCTGCGAAATATCCATAGAGTCAGAAACATGTAGGATGTGCCAGGATACCCTGAAATAATCATACAGCATGTGTCATGCATACTGGATCAGCATACTGGCATTGTTGTGTGCTGAGTCTCTGGCCATGGAATCTCCTTCCTTGATTCTATCACTTCAATGTCTGCTCTACACCAGGCATTATGGATACCACAATCACAAGGACAGAGATCTCTCTTTAAATCTTCATTTCAACACAACAGAAAGATAAACAAATAAATTGAAATCAATGTGTCTAGATGATTTATTCATCAATGAAATCATGAATATTATGTTGAGAAAAAACTAATGATGCCAAGATTTTATTGTTTGTGAGAATCACAAATAGTAGAAAAAGGAAATGCAATTTGACCTGGGTGTTGTAGTTGTGTAAAAGTGCATTGTAGACAAAAGGAACATCATGATAAATCACTGTAAAGTACTTGGTGTGTTGCAGATAAAAAGTAGGTATAACTAGGACTGTGCATAGAGGGTATGAAAGATGAGGAAAAGGTTAATGAAACATTAGACTGGGAACAGGAATCATAATCAATCTGGTTGTGTTTCTGGGAAAATATAGTTGGAAACTTGAAATGTCAAAAGAGCAGCTATAACATAGGAATATTTAGTAAAATGTTGGCATGAATATGGAACTCAGTAAAACTTTTTGAATATTACACTTATTAGGATGAAATGTTACAGAGGAAAGAATCATAACTTTCTTATGTTCATATATGGGTACATCACAGTGAAGCTCCATGTCATGTACAACCACAGGAATAAAATTTTAATTAGCATCTTAATTAGAATAAGTTATACTTCGTGTATGTATAACTTGTCAAATATAATTTACCGTTATGTATATCTAAAAAGAATACATAATTTTATTTATAAAAAGATGAAATATTAGATAATTAGCAATCTGTCATCCTTTGCCCTTATGCCTATCTGGCTGTCCAGCCATACTTCCATCTATCCAATTATTCCTCAAACAATTACTGTGTATTCTCTTAGTGCCAGTTAGAAACAGAGTGGTCCTCAGAGTCACAGTCCTTGTTTATTACCATCTGGAAAACAGATATATGTAGAAGAGGGCCTGGCCCTCATGGAGCTGTGTTTATTCTTGACCAGTATTGTACAGCATTTTAACCTGAAATCTGTGGTGAAGTGACTTGATACCAACACATTTTCCCATGCATTTGCTTCTCTGCCAAACAGGTTCCTGACTGGCTGGTTGCTTCCATGTTGTCATCTACAGTCCTCCCCTCTAGGGCACTGTTCACATCCTTCTCCTACTGGGGATACCTTCTCTGCCCTCTCCTCACATTTCCCCATTTCCCCAGGATCTGGAGAACACCCTGTCTTCATTTTAGAGTGTTTACTGGGTCACTGTACAACTACGTCTGCTATTCTCCATGCCCTTTTACCCTGATATTGACAATGCCAAGTGTCAACGTTTACCTAATGTTCAGTTATTTGTATGTCGTACAGGTCCAACAGCAAAATGGTTAAGATATGACAATTCAGAGTCATTTCTCCTCCACATATTCTTAATAATGATCACAATTAATTACTGGTTTCAATTTCAGACTTTCAATTTTGGGAAATAATTTAGGTAAAAAAAAAAATGGAAGAATTGGGACCCCCAAAGGACCTGCTGGCCCTCAAACTGATAAGCATAGAGTGTGGAAGGGGAAATGGTAGAGAAGCTCTTTGGCAGGGCTTGGGTGTAGCCAAGAGGTAGAACACTTGCCTAGCATGTGCAAGGCTTGCAATTGCCTCAGTCTGGCTGGGCACAATTAACCGAGCCGCCACAAAGCCTTGTAGGTTCAAACAGCAACTCTTTATTCCCAAACTCTCACCGGCACTCTACACACACTTCCCGGGAACACACTCCCTCCACCGGGCTCCGTGCACCAATTCTCTCGTGCACCAATTCTCTCGGAACCCTGCGAGAACTCCATGGGAACTCCAAATTAGGGGGCACCCGAGGGCATGATCTGCCCTAATCCCGGAGCCTCCCTATTCCAGAGCAGGGTCACCTTTCAACCATAACCTCTGGCAAAATGCCAGGTGTCATTCCGGCTAAACTGTGGCTCTCAGTAGCTATTCAATCAGTAGTCAGCATGAAAGAAACAAAAAACAAACACACAACAAGAAAAGCTCTTTGGCTAAGCATCACCTATGGTTACCAGGTATATAGATTTTACACAGAGAAATAACATTCGGGCAGCTGCAAACCATAGGATACTGTGAAGATCACTCATGAAGAGGAACAAACATTATGCTTACAATAAATGGCCCTGCTTTGTGGGTTAACATGAAAATTTGAAATATTCTCTATCTTTCATGTTTCCAACTCAGAACCAAGTATGAATTTGTTTTCTTATTACTAAGCATATATTGAACATTAGTCTTCTCAACAAGAACAGATTCCCTGAAAGCATCAGCTTTCCTATTATTTTTCTAGCTTTCACACATTGTTTTACACTCAACATAAATGTGATGGCAATCTGGTGCTATTTCTCTGAACTCATTAGTCTAATTTAATCTCCAGAATACACACAATTGACCTTCTATTTCAAGTCTAATTCTATTTATTTTCCCTTCTTTCTGTCTAAAAATGTATTAAGGGAGAAGGGTCACTTATAACCCTTTCTGACCTCATCTCCAGAGGAAGTCATTTTGTCAGGTGTTTTAAGGTAATGTATTAGTGCCCAGACCCACAACTGTAACTGTGCATTTGTACATGCTCAATGTTTCATGTCCAAGGCCTGTACTTAATTCCTTTTCCCTCCTCCATGCAGGGGCATCTCTTCCTAGTGCTTGGCTTAGAATTGGGGTTGGGGCTGATGCAGGCAAGTCTTTCCTTTCTTACCTTCTTTAATGTGTCTTTTTATTGTCTGAAACTCAGGCACTAAAGACTCATCTGCCTTCCTTATATCCTGTGAAATTGATTTGGTGCATGAATAGATAGTCTTTCTATATGTGTCTCTGGGATGTGCAGGGAACACAACACAATCACTGTAGGATTCTACTTATCCACCATCTTTTACACACCCTAAAAATATGTTTTAAATAACACACAAGAAGCACAAACCATTACATAACAGAAAATATTAATTTGTTGAAAGTCTTAATTAAGCAGTTGAAAACCAATGTATTTAGAATTTATATAACTGAGTCTTTTCATTCCTTATCCCCTTTGTTAGACCAGGAAGCAAGAAAAGACCACTGACTCCAATTAAAATCAAATTAAAGCAAGCTTATTATTTCGACTGGCCAGGCTGCCTTTCCCTCCCAAAACGGCAGGAACAAGACAGCAACCCCACCTTTCCTACAGCCCAGCTTTATAGCCCAGAAAGTTACACAAAATGGGGGTTACAGATAACAGAACTCTGACAAGCATCACACTAATGGTAGTTTACATTTTTTTTTTTCTGGCCCCAACATCAGAATTTATGAAGACCCTCAGAGAGGGTCGTTGTCTGGCCAGGGAAGGCCAAGATTTATGAGGTGTCACTAAAGTTTCAGAGAGGGTTGCTATCTGGTCAGAGAGCCAGGCATGGGTGAGTTCAAGGCACGGGCAGGCATTCCAAGCAGGTTCAGAATTTGCAGTAATTTATAGTAAAGCCGAAATTAGCTTTTCATGGCTTTGTGGCAAGATGGCTCCCAATTTTAATAAAAGATCAGGTTGGGTCTATCACCCTTCCCTCCCGCTTTCTTCTTAAAATGTAAAATACCAGATTCACTATGGGTCCATGCAAGTTAGGTATTTATGGTAGTAGTGATGCAGCTGTTTTTCAAGTTAGTTAGGAGAGCCCACTCAGGCTGAAAAGGGTACATAAAAAGAGGGTTATCCAGGGTGAGAGATGAGACCCTGGGGAGGGAGAGAAGACTGCTGAGAGAGAGGGGAGGCTGAGCATGCTGCATCAGACCCTAGGCAGGCAAGCAGGGTCTCCATGATGATGATTTCCTAACTTGAAACTTGATAGACTTGACCAAAGAAGGCACCCACGATGGTAGCCAGGCATGGAGTATCAGAACCTGAATGAATGAAGACAACATTGGGAACATGGCATTCACAGGTAAGAGGACTCAGAACAAAACTGGATGAAAAGAACATCCCCATGGAAGGCCAGGCCAGCAAGGGTGTCAGAAACCAGAAGACTTGAGGAGGGCACCATATTGGGCAGGTGGAAAGGCTGCCTTGATTGGAGAGCCAGAGAATGGATTTTGAATTGGATATTAGTGACACAATTTGCCTTTTTTTTTTTTTGGTAAAACAAGAATTGGGTTTGATAAGTAGATGGTCCTTACCCATCAATATAAATTTCCTGATAGTGATAGTTGTATTAAGTTTGTAAAGGAGAATTTCCTTGCTTTGGGGAAAACTCATAATAATATATTCCAGGTTAAGATATCAACTCAGAAATTTTCTAATAATTTTAAGTAAAGAGTTATTTGAGTATGCATCCAACATTTCTGCACACATGTGATTGTAAAATCTATTTATCCATCTATTTAAAGCATGGTTTACAATCAAACTATATGCAATTATTCACAAAAGAATAATTGATATTGCCAAGGGGCATCTGAAAAATTTCTTGGCATCTTTGTTCTTCACAGAAAAGTCAACGTGATATGATTACATGCCCATCAGGAAAGTTAAAATGAAAAAATGTGAATCTACTAAGTGTTGCCAAGGAATTAAAATTCGTCACTCTCAGAGTGATATTTTAAATTGGACAAACCATTTGGATAACTCTTTAGGAGTATTCATTAAAATGAAACACAATGTGTATCCAGAAATTATATTTGTATGTATGTATTGAGCTGAAAGCATTTACTAATATACCAAGAGTTACTTACAGTAAAGTCCCTAACAGCACTGTTCATAACAGACCTCAAATGGGGAAATTAAGATATTGGAAGGCTCCATTACCAGTGGCTCTGTGGCTCAAGATTCAAGCAGCTTCTTAGCAACGTGGGTGAAACAGGAAATTCACTAAAACTCAATGTGTGATAGAGACTCTTGGATACCCAGAAATTTGGGTACATTGAACAGGGACAAGAAAAAATACCTTGGAGCCAAGATGATTGAAGCAGCAGTAGCAGTGCTGGCTCTAACACAGGAGAAGGATAACACAAAGGAGGGAGAAGTACAATGAAAATTTGTAAACTGAAAAGGCAGCCTGAATTTAGCTGACATAGATGTTCACAGAGAATAGTGTTAGGAAATTGCTGTGTTTCTCAATGTGCAGGCTGAGAGCTGAGGCAGGGAGCCATCTAGAGGAGGTCACGTTACTGCTTGCTGCTCTGGGAGCCCAGGAGATCATAGTAAATACTGTAATACTGTCCAGACAGGTGCCTACCCTGTGGCTAGGTTGTGCCTAGCAGAACTTGAATGAAACAGCCACAGAGAAGATTGTACCCCATGGGGAGACAAGTCAGAGAGAGAGAGAAGAGTGCAACTCTCTCTTCCTTTGAGTCTCTTGGCACATAGGAACATTTGAAGGAGGTAGAAAAAGTGAACAGGTGGGCATGACTATACTCGGGGACTGAGGCTGAGAGTGGCCACATTCATG